GCGTGTTTTTTCTATATTCACCACAGTGCGGTAGAATGTTTCAACTTCGTCGACTTTCTGTAAAGATACGGTATTTCAATGAAATACTCGTATACGGTAAAAACTAACTTGCTTACATCATCCAGTTCCTGCACAAAGTCTTCTAGATTTTCAGAAATCCACGTGATTGAGGTCAAAGCCGGCTTCATCAACAATGCAATTTCTTGTAGGCGGAAGCGCATAATGTTAATGAAAATAGCCGAAATCGATTGTCGAAACTGGTCATAACGCCGCATAATTTCCTTTAACTGAACGGCGGGGTCCAGTATACGATCTTTACAGTAGGTTACCACGCTGGCAATATTCGGAACCTCTGAAAAGTTACAACATTATGAATATGTGTTAGCTTATAACAATAATATCATTACCCAATTTCAGCTTCCACATCCATTCTGTCTCTTTAATCAGCTGTCTGATTGCCGGATCCAAATTAACTGTATATTGCGCCATTTCCTTGTGACATAATAAAATGGGCGCATTCAACAAGCAACGCACCTCCTCACAGTAATCATACCAAGCCTTGTGGTAAGTCATCTCATAATGACATATTATACCATTCATGTAATTGTAATAGCGCACTGTGCGTTGAGCCTTCTTATGTGCCAATACACACTGTCGATACTTTAGCACTTTCATTGGTTCATCGATCTTTTTGAAAATGGAGCGTATCCAAGTAATACGCCCTGCGACTGGTGGCATATTTCGCGCTATAAATGGGTTACCACGCTCCTCATTGTAGCTAAACAAGCAGAAGGTATTAGTGAAACTAGTGGGTGAAGAGATCTAGCAACTTACACATCCTTAAGCACAAACATCTCCTTTTCCAGCATCTCGGCAACTTCCAAGTAACGTCGATCCAAGCATAAACATTCCAAGCCCAGACGTTCGAAACGTTGCAGTATTAATATGACAGATTCGGCAATCGGTACGTCAGCGATTTGTTGTTTTACGAATTGTTGCATGCCGACTTCCGCTTGTTCGACCTCCTTAACGAATACTTCATAGTCTTTATTGAAGATCTCTATGCGATAGTCGAGTGGATCATACGGCTTCGAAGCGATCGTGCTGCGTGCGCCCTTTATCTGTGCATTGAATTTCTCCATGCCGCTGATGGTGATGACGTCCAGCACCGAGTAGATTATCTCAGTATTAAATATGTCTCTGATCTGTGTAGAAAATGGTAGTACAATATATATAAATATATATATATATTATAAATAACTCCAAGCTATGTATAAACGCACCTTTTCCAAACGTGCTTGAAACTTTTCCAAACAAGTGAATATGTAGACCTTCGAGACAACCCAGGGATTTTCATTGGCGAATGCCATATCTTCAACAGTTTGCAAATAAATCGACTTATAGTACTCCATTATCTCATTACATTTATTTATTTTTGCTATAACGCCTTGCGGTTCTAAGTTCCAGAGCAGCCTGCGACCGCTGTCGGTCAGATATCTGCGACTCGTTAAGGTGATTTGATTGGAAATCTTCACAAAAAGACCAGTAACATTACTGGGTGTGTTGAAATAATGTGCCGTCTTGGAGACATTACGTATGGCCACCATCAGACCCGGTAAGCTGCTAATAATTTCGTCTGGCGCAGATCTATGTAAAGTAGGCACCCAACTGTAAACCCAAAACTCATGCAATAAAACACATTCAACTTTTACCTATACAGAGGATCCCAAAATTTCTGTAGTGATGATATATAGCGCACATTGTCTTTGGCTTCGTTTAACACCAAAGTTACCTGGTTGTCGATCTCAGCCCATTTCTAGTGTGTAAAATTTCATAAAGAATGTATAAGTATACACTATGGACATTATAGACGCACCTTCAAGAGTTTCGACGAACGTGATAATATCAAACACTGTTTGTGATTGTTAAACGCACGCGAAGATACAAACTCCATAATGGAGGTGTAACGCGCCAATTGTCGTCGCCAGTTAACTAACATTTGTAAGGGTCCCACATCCGGTGGATCGCGTAGTATTTGCTTGCCTTCCACCAAAATTCCTTGAATTTGTCGCAACCATTGCGCAAAGTAACGTTCGACCAAGCGTACACGTCCCACATCTTTGGCGCTGGCCTCAATTTGAAACTTCACCAAAAGTAGACCTTTGAAGAGTTCATGTGAGACCTCGAAGTTGACGCGTGTCGAGACAATTGCCTCCGATGATTGCAAAAAGGTATTATACATATTGAGTATATGAAAGAATTTGCGCTTTTGCTCTGGTTCGGCGACACCAAAATCCGTTACCACCTCTAACGAGGCAGTCAAAACTCGTTTCATAAACTCCTTAATCACATACAGACAATTGCCGTCTTCGGTTACCCAACGGAACATTGCGACATCATCAGAGACAGTGCGATTCTCTATGGTTTTATTGTTGTTATTGCGATAAACAATTACCCAAGCACCCTTCATTTTAACATAATCGCTTTTTAAACAAACGGCACGCTTGACATCAGCGTACTTCAGCTTCTCTTGGTAACGTCCCGATTCGGGTGGGTAACCTTTTTGTGTGGCATAAGTGATCATGCATGCACGTGGTCCTTTATCTTCGAAAATACCACCTAATAATTCAACAAAGGCCTGATCATCTACCAAACCCATTATTAGTTCATCCATATCTGTATTCAATAAGTCGGCTGCGATCTCGATTACATAACGCTGGTTGGCACCCAAAGCTGAGATGCGCTGTTGACGGTATTCCCTAAGTAATTGCGTTCGCTTTCTCTCATGCTCCTCACGTTCATGGTCTGTAACACTAAGTCTTCGCGCTGTGTGCTTTTGTATGGTACGCGATACGCCAAGAAGTTTTCCCAGACGTACGGCATTTTTTTCGCCGGAATCCATATTACGTGATTGTTTACTTCGTAGCTGATTGCAATTCTTAGTTATGAATCATAAATTCAATAAGAAATATCAAAAGAAAAAAATGCGTCCGATCCGTATGAAAAATCTTTTTCAAATGATTTTTTCCATTTGACGTGAAAATTAATCGACTCAGTGCAAAGTCTACAAGAAATTATTGCTAATTTTGTGATGCGAAGTTAACGTGTATTTATCTGTACCGAATGGGTTCTGGGTTTCGATAACTGTATTTGAAATGAATTATTAAAGTAACCGACGCAACTGCTTTTCAAGCCCATCAAGGCTAGGATAGATGTGTATAGAGTCAGTGGCCAACTCATCTCTTGGAACGATGTGTTTTTCCGCGTTTCTTTATTAATAACATCAAACACTTAGTACGATCATAGCCTAGATGTACAAGGCTGGTGTGCCATTGTCGCATATTCCATATGTAGTGTCACGCTATCAGTCGACAAGAGGCAGCTCCGTCTGCTCTTTAAGCTGACAGATAAATTTTATAAATAGTTTATTCTGGTTAGGATTACACTCATTCGATAAATCTCTGTCGTTAATAGGCTATATTAGAAGTGTTTTTTTCGATTAGCTGCTTTAGCAGTATTTGCAAGAAACTGTGTTCTGGCTGATCTTATGTTAAGCTTCTTCAGGTACTAGACCAGACGTTTGTCTTATAAGTTGGAATGTTTCTTTTGCTTTATATAGACTTGAACTATTTTATGAAGAGGGTTATTCAGCTTATAGAAAATAAGTCAGAAATATTGGCGAGATAAACGTTTAAATTTCGGTCCATGATCTTCATTGTCATAGAGTTTTTAGCATGTGAGTTTAAAGACATTTTATCGGAGGAATGAGTTAATTTCAAATTTCAGTAGTTCAAAAAATAGTAAGAGACAGGCAAATTGTTTAATTTAAATAAGTTATAAAATCTGACACCTAAAATCAGATAGTTCGTGGTCCAAAAACACACCATGATTGACCGTTGCGAACGCTGTAAGCAGCATTTCGATTATTTATCTAAAGACTTAAGGTCTCATGTGCTGTGGTAGAGTTGTCTTTTCGGAAGCCGTCTTTAAGCTTTGCTGGATTCAGATGCTTCTCAATAGCTCAAGCTACTAGGGAAGGCAGATATAACTTGTGGATTTGTGAGATTTCAGGTTATTTTAAAGCGTCTAGTGACAGACTAGTTCTTGGTGACAACGAATAAATAAACTTTGACAGATCGCACATAATGCTCTCAGAGAGTAATCACTGTGACGAAAAATGAGCTTATATATAATTTGAGATTTTGGAATGGTATATTAAGTTTGACACAAAGTTTGTAACACCTAGAAGGAAACGTCAGAGACCGTATTAAATATATAGTACATACATAAATTCTCAGCGTGACGAGCTAAGTCGATTTAGCCATGCCCGTCTGTCTGTATATACGTGAACTGTTCGCTCAATTTTTTAAATATCGAGCTAAAATTTTGCATACGTCCTTTCCTTTATAAGATACTGCTCATTTGTCGGAACCGTCGATATCGGACAACTATAGCATATAGCTGCCATACTAACTGACCAATCAAAATCAAGTTTTTGTATGGAAAACTTTTTTATTTCACAAGATATCTTCACAAATTTAAAACTTTTATATTTGTGAAAAGTATTCTAGCTTCGGTGCAATCGTAGTTAACGTTTCTTTATGTTTTACTTACCTAATTACGCTCGTGATTGTTAATTCGCGTCTATCATAAAATTGTAGCTGCTTTATGGGTTGTGGGTTTTTGTTTTATAACAACGAAAAAATCAAAACTACAAATTCTTAAATTTTTATTTTTCAAAACGGCATTTTTATTCAAATATTTACTGTTCTATTTGATAAAATCTACACAAATTCAATAAACAAAAAAATATAATATGTAGTAGTAATAATAGCAAAGATTTAAAGATAAACGTTACAGACATGTATTCTTCAACAATTAATAGATTATGTATGTATGTGTGTATGTATGTATATTTGCTTTTATTAGTTTTATTGTTACTACCGCTAAAGAACCTGTGTTTTTTTTTTGTGGTTTTTGGTTATAATATTTTTTTTTTGTTTTTTTTTTTTTGAATTTCATTTAATATATTTATATTTATTTTTATTTTACTGTACATACAAACGTTAGCTTAATTATGTAACTTTGTTTTTTGCGCTTTTAAATAATAGCTGCTAACCGCTTAGTGTGAAAGAAGAAGAACGCATTGAAAGCAAAATAAATTTGTATTGCCCTTTTAATTAAAAAAAAATTGAAAGCATTAAAATTCAAGCATAACTGGTTTTGCTCTAGAAATTTCGTATAATTAATTTGAGCATGCTATCCACAAATTAATTTCGAACATATACAAATATTAGATGGTGTAGGTAAGTAATGGCATATGTAAATGATATATGCGTATTTGCAATTTTTCAAAAACTTGACCATACAAAAGTATTTAGGTGAGTAAGAACATAACAAACTAGTAGTAATACTAAGGTGCGTTCGTAGCTGCGTTCGGGTAACATACGATACGTATGCATAACTGTCTATTTAAAAAACTACTAACAACCAAAATTTATAATTTCAATTTATTAAACTTTTTTTGTTTTCATTTTTATTTTTCATTTATTTACTGCTTTTCGCGTCGCTAAGCTAAACTTAAGTAAAAGAACTGAGAAAAAAAAACTTTTTAAATAATATCGTTTATTAGAAAACAATGCAACAGTTGCTCAAACATTCTGCCTGCTCTGTACCACTGTGCATTTTTTTACTTTTACTTTGCTTGTGTTATTCCACATTATTTACGTATACTTTAAATCTACAATCGTTCATTAAATTGCTTGCGTTGCGTTTTAAAGTAATTTATGCGTTAGAAAAAAAAAACTGTAAACAAATTATCAACTACTAATCTATAATCTCGCTGTGTGCTTCACATAACGAACAATTGTTTGTATGCGTGCATGCGTATGTATGTATGTGTATGTGTTAGGGTAATTATAACGTGTTATTTGTTTTATTAGTAGTACATAGTATTAACAAATGATTTATGTATATTTGTTTTAATTACATAAAATTGTATTTATTTTATACAAGCTGCAAAAGGTTTGCAGTCAAAAAACAAACTGCCTAACATTAAATATTAATATTTATATACAAATATGCACACCAGCACTTAACGCGACCCTCGATTTGAGAAATTTACCGTGGTTGCAGTTTGTGGCTGTTTTCGCCAATTTGTGTCCACTTCTTTGCTTGTATTGCAGTACAACTAAGTTACTAACTACTATTTACAACTTAGCAGAAAATTTTGGAAATTTTTACTTCTATTTTATTAATTATCCCACTGGTACTTAGCGCTAGTACTATATATGGTGCATTCAATTGCATTACCTCTCCGTCGTGGGTGCTCATAAAAAAACATGTGAGTACTTAAGATACGTTAAATTCTTATGGTAAAACTTTACAAAAAAATAAAAACAAAAAAAAAAAAAATTAATAATTAAAGAAAATATTGAATAACTGTAAATTAAGTTTAAACTATAGTCCAACCTACTTGAGTCAGTAGTAGTATTCTAGAAAATATATTGCTAATACATTTCTACTACTTACAGCCTTCACAAACTTTTTCTAAAACTTTTGTTCATTATTAAACAAAAAATTATATTTTAATTACATTTCAACTGCTAACATGCGCTTGTCTCGTCGAATCCTCAACGCGTATATTTTTACGTTTGCGTTTTGGCTAACTTTACATTTTACACTAAAAATGTTTTGCAAACCAAGTGTCTATATTACCATTGCTATAAATAATTAATTCAACCTAACCTTTTTTGTACACCATTGCAAATCACTCAACACTCTACTCTTTGTTGCGCCCCCACTATCTATTGCTATTGCTCAATATTCCAGCTGGAGAAATCGTTGTTAAAAAAGCTGGTTTACCAACCCACCCTCTAGCAAAATCGGAAATCTGTATGCAGTGCCATGAAGCTTTAACCATGTTTATAGCTGGCCAGTTCAGTCATTGAGCGTGGCAACATTTATTTTGGTTGCTGTATTGCCGCCAACCATTTTGTTTGGGTTGCACTCCAGCACGACTGTATCCTCGGCGGCTTCGCCAAGTGTCATCGCCGACGACGTAGCAGCCAGCGTTGCTGTTGCTGTGGTCGTTAGTGTTGCGCTGTCATTGTCGTCCAGCACGATAATTTCACTGTCCGCTATTTGACTTTTTGTGGATTTTGCTGGTGTGGCGTTTAAGTTGTTTACCTCAGTTTTGTCATTGCTAGCATGCATGTTGTTATCCTCTTCTATATATTCAATTGCGGTGTTTTCATCAATATCGGCAACTACAAAAATATGTCATGCAATTAATTTTGAGTTTTTTTTTTTTTAACTTTTTAGTCTACGAAATAAAAGCGTTATATATAAAATATTATTAATGGTTTTCACCCACGCACGCACCGATAGTCTCATCAAATCCAGCATCTGTTTCACATTCAACTGCGGCGGATATGTTGTTTTCTCTTTCGTTGTTCACATTGACTGCATTCACTGTTCTCTCCAATTTTACAGTTTCACTTTCCGCTTTTTGGGCAGATTTTTTCTGGCTAACAGCCACAGTCGTATTCTCCTCATCATCGTCAATCACTTCGATTGGCTCATCTTCATCGTTGACGTAAGCGCTGGCGTTATTATATGTTTTCTGCAATCGTCCCACCTTCAGCTTCGGCGCATCACGCGTTTTGGCGGGCGATATCTCACCGCCACTACCACTTTCGGTGCCGCTATAGATTGTGTATGCCCGTTCTGTCATCTCTTGGCCCTCTTCGCCGCCCGTATCGTCCGTCATTTCATTCTCGTCCATTTCACCGTCAACAGTGCCCTCAGTCTCAGTGCCGGCGTCAGTGTCGCCCTCTTCCTGCTCCTCCACAATTACATCTTCAAAACTGTCATCGATAATTATGGCCTCACCATCAATCGTTTCCTTGTCTTGCTGCTGTTTGCCACCAACCTGACCTCCGGACTGTCGCCGAAATTCTGTGCGTGCTGCGGCTTTAGTTGCTGCGGCGACGGCTGTTGCTTGATCCAATTCCATTTCCCAATCGGTAGCACCCAAAATTATTGTGGACGGTTGCTGTTGTTGTTGTTGGCCTTGTTGCTCTCGTTGTTGGTGCTGCTGCTGTTGTGTACTTTCTACTAGCGTTGTTGGCAATACCGTTACTGTATCGCCAATATTATTACCCATCGTGATATTCGTGCCATCACCACTTTCCACTATTATCGGCATATTGAGTATATCCACTGGCGTATCTTCGGTAATCATTTGATTTGCTTCCAACTGCACTGCACTGGCTGTTCTAGAGGTCACGTTGTACTTGTTGCTGCCATCGATGAAAGTGGTCGTCTTAATTGGCGTATTTGTGCTGCTTTGTGCTGACGACGAACCAATTATCACGACATTGGGTTTGACGGTCTCGGTGTTTTGAGTATTCTGTACTTTAGCAGCTGCAACAATACTACTACCAACACTTGCAGGCTTCGATAGTGTTATTGTTCCAGAGGTGGTGCGTGCACCAACCGACGGCACGAAAACCATATTCATATTACCCTTATTGCCGCCCAATGTTAGCGTGTTTGTTGTAATAGTGGGCTTCGTCTGTGATTGGGATTGTGAAGTAGCCGTGTGAAAGGTGCCCGTCAAATTGCCGGGCGAATTTAATGGCGCTGGGATTATTTGCACTTTCTGTATGGCGATGCGTTGCGGCTGGTGTGTGCCGGTTGTACCAGCACCCGTGGCATTACTACTGACCACCGCGTTGGGCAAGATTTTGTGTGATAATGCACCTTGTAGTTTTGCTTTCGATGCGTTGTCTATATTGGCTGGTTGTATGAACACTTTGCCATTTGGTGATTGGCATATTTTTACGCTGGTACGAATACCAGTGGTTGAGATATTCTTTAGCTGATGTTGTAAGAATGGTGAAGCTGAAGTTGATTGTTGTTGTGCCTGTTGATTCGAATGACTGACCGCAGTTACGCTTGTAGTGGTATTCGCTGGTGTCAATTTAATATTGCTGATAATTTGGGGGCCCGAATTGGAAGTACTAAAGGTGCCAGAAAGCTAAAAAAAATAATACGTGGCAAAAATATTAAAAAGATTATCTAGCGACAAAACCCCAAAACACAGGCAACAAAAAACCAATAAAAATAAAAGTTAAAAAACAAACACAAAACCAAAAAAAAACAAATTTAAATAAATAAAAAAACAAAACAACAATAAAATAAAATAAAAATTTAAAGAAAAAATATTGAAACATAAAAATAACAAAAACAATATAAAAAAATGTATATTAAAAAGAATGTATATTAAAAAAAATTTACATTAAAATTAATTATATATTTAAAAATAAAATTAAAAAAAGAAACAAAAAAATATATATTAAAAAAAAAAATAATTAAAAAAGAAAATTTAAAAATGCAAATTACAACATGAACAAATTTCAGAGAGAAAAATATAAAGGGATACATAAAAAAAAATTTTATTAAAAAAACACAACCACATCAAAAACAAAAAAATAAACCAAAATAAAAAAAACAAAGTTTAAAATAAAAAGAACAAATAAAAAAAATTTTAATATTAAAAAATTCAAAAAGTTTATATTAAAAAAATTAAAATATTTAAAAATTCAAAAAACATATATTATAAAAATGAAAACATAAAAAAAAAATTCGAAAACTATATATTAAAAATATGAAAAAATAAAAAAAATTCCAAAAATATATATTAAAAAAAATTCCAAAAATATATATTAAAAAAAATTCCAAAAATATATATTAAAAAAAATAAAATAGAACAAATTAAAAATATTTGCATGCTAAGAAAGAAGTTATTGAAAATAAGTATATAATATACTACTATATAAACTCCAAAATAATAGAAAATAAAATTTCGTTACTTACCTTGCTTGCGCTGCTTGCATTCACGCCAATTGTGCCCGTTTTAATGATCTGCGACTTGCGGAACACCGGAGCGCCGGATGTTAGTGTTGAAAATAGCGCACTGCCAGCGGCTGTGCCACTCTGATTTGGTGATAGCAATAATGTCGACCCCATAGTTTTTAGCATTGCTGTTGTGCCGCCCAACGAAGCATTCAGATTATTCCCACTAAGACCACTGCTTCCACTGCCGCCACTTACGAGTGTAGCACCATTATTGATAGTTTCGATTTTCGTAATATTAACAGTGTTACCGGAACTACTGCTACTGCCACCGCCACTACCACCACTAGCAACACCGGCGCCACTCAACACAATCGGTAACAATTTCGTTGTTAACACCTTGCCTTGCGCCGGCTGTTGTGATGATTGCAGTGTTGCAGTGCCTTCCGTAGATACATTAGTGTTGTTTGTATTTTGAATTTGTATGATTGCTGGTGGCGTGTGCGTCGGCAGAGAAGGCGTCGCTTGTGCATTACTCGAACTATTGTTACCTTCAATGATGCTGAACACTTGTGAGCCACTGTTATTAGTACTGCCGGTGAGTGCAGCGTTATTATCTGTGCCAAGCGCACTAATCAATGTAGAGCCGGACAACTTTTTTGTAGTGAGTTTAGTACCTGGTGGCAAAATTGTAGTATTTACTGCGCGTAATTTTGTGGCAGCCGCTGATAATTGTGGTAATGTCATTATCTGTGGTGTGGATGTAGATTGCAATTGGAACGTGGATGCCGTTGATACCACGACCGCTGATGCCATTGCTGTTGTTGAAGTTGTGACAACCGAACCTGCTAATTGCTGTGGCGGAAGACGGTCTTCAAGTATAATTTTCTGTACTGGCGTTGAAATCATTTTTTCCACTTTGCTATGTACTCCAGCACTGCCAACAGTTGGTGATAAGGCAGTTGGCAACTGATGGGTATCGATTCGTGTAGACAAAGCATTTACCATTAATGGGCTGTTGGATGGTATTGCCGGTGCTATCACATTTGGTGACACTGATGATGCTCCTGTTGTTGGTGGTGTTGTAATCACGCTAGGCAATTGCAATTTGGTTAGATTCTTGGTTATGTCCTTCTTTGAAGCGGCAATCTGCGGTTGTGTGGAATTCTGATCCATATTGAATTCATCCAACCCCTCACCGACAACATGTTGTATATTGCGAACGGTTGTTTGTGCCAGCATTTGTTGTTGATGCTGTTGTTGAGCAAGTGATTGTTGTTGTTTCTGTTCTTGAAGTTTGGAATTCGCTTTGCGGCCACTTTTGGCTGGCGTCGCCTGTCGCTTACCAGGTGTAACAGGTAATATGGGGTTTACACCTGTAGCCATTTGTGATTTTTTCGTTGCCAGTTTTTGTTTTTGTAATGGTGTTTGATTTAAACGTTGCTGTGCAGCTTTGCTGTTGTGATTGTGATATAATTTACGTATGTTACTGTTACCACTGATGGGTGACGTAGCTTGGGCACTATTAGCAGTTATGTGATGGAACTGCTTTTGGTACTGTTGTTTGCTGGGTGAAGTATCACTGATAATACGCTTTTTATTGCTGCCGGCTTGACTGTCGGATATGTTACGTTTAAGATTTTTCTTATTGGCAGCAGGAATATCAGGCATTTTGAACTATTAAAAAGATTAAAATAATTAAAGAAACATTAGAAATATTCAATCCACAAATACAGAAACCATATATTTATATTACATATTCAAAAACATAGTCGAAATTGTAAAACCAAATCAAACACCTAATCAATCACAAAAGCAATATATTTAGTCAATGAATTCAAATTTATCTTAATAGAGTAGATTGATTTGCAATATGCATAATACGTAGGTATATATATATATATATACATATATGGTTAATAAGAGGCTTCACTTTTAATACGCTGCTTTAATTATATATATATGTATATGAAGAATTTATTATATACACATCGGTCTCACACTTTTAGTACTATTTAAAAACTTTGGTTACTTCACGCAATTTTAATTGTTTTCTGCAAATCTTTCCTTCCTTTAATAATATAATATATTCACAGACTGTACTTTTTTTAACACTTTATATTCCTTTGTCGTTATATAACCCCGCCCGCCCCTCACAACCACACAAATATTCAACTTACAGGATCGTCTGTGACGACATAAACCTCGCGCTTGATTTCCCAAGATTCCAATTCTTCTTTTCCCATTATTGTATTGATGGTATTAGCTCGTTCAGCAACGACTGCTGCTGCCGTATCAGCGGGATAGGGTAATTTAGCATTTTCAGAAATTGTCTCAGTTGCCACATTATTAGCAATTAATGCGAGCGCTGTTTGTGGGGCCACACGCGGTAGCATCGGATACGATCGTCTTCCTTCACGCGACCACTCTTGCCATGTATTTGGACCCGATATACTGTACACAAGTAAAAAAAAAAAGCACAACACATATATGTATATAAGCACGATGCGAGCATTATAGGAAGAATAATTTACACTAAACTTCCGCCTTATTTCGTAACTGCGCGTATGAATTCTTTAAACACTTACGCTTCAGCTATGGTACACAATTGTTCATCGTTTGCAACACGACGCGCTTCAGCTCGATGACGCTCTTGCGAGATGTGAAATATGCCACGCAACTCCTCAAGAAGTTTGGCCTTGTTGTCGCTGAGGCCACCCTGAGCGCGAAATACACTTATCACATGAGAATAAGATTCCAGCTCTGGAAATAGATTGAACAAATGGTTAATAAGAGACTTCACTTTGAATACGATGCTTTAATTATCAAACGGATCACGTTCGCTGTACACTCTTTCCGTTGGCATAACTCCTGAATGCGCTTCAACGCCAGTTCTTTTCACCTACATAGTATGTAGTTTGGCTCGCATTCGTAGCCACTTTCTTACCAAGTCTTCTCAAAATCCCTCGACACTCATCTCTAGACATTTGCAACGCCTGCGGCCACATCCTGCACGAATATTATCCACGCTGCCTTTTTGCAAATTGTTTTTTAACTCTTACTCGATTTTCTAAAATAGTTTTCTCTAACTTTTTGCAAATTGGAGCGAAAAATTCACTGCTGCTGCTTCTTCATACGAAATTGGCAGCCATTAATGTTTATTTGTCAAAAAAGTAAGTACAGTACAAAATTATAAATGAGGAGATGTCAGAAAAGAGAGTTAATTAGGAAAGGCATGGAAAGTATATTTCAAATTTAATATGATTATTATACTATATCTAATGTTGAAAATATTATTTTATGCATGTATTTTGTAAATAAAACATTATTATGCGTTTGGGTATTTTTACTATATAATTTCTTTAGTAATAATAATTTGTTTATTAGTTCTAAATATGTTATTAATGTTAAAAGTGTTAATTTAAATTATATAGTGTATAATTAAGTAACATTATTTTAAAAAAACTGGATTTTGTACTATATTTATTATTGAAAATATTATACATGCATGTATTTTGTAATTTAACCATTTATTTTTACGTTCGGTTATATTTACTATACAATTTCTTTTGTAAGAATTATTTGTTTACTAGTTCGAAAAGCGTTATTATTCTTAGTAATATTATTTTTATATCTTGCGCATAACTAAATTTCATTATATATATATCTTATAGAAGTATAAAGTTTTAAAAATTTTCCAATTTGGGTTAAGAATAATATGACACTGTTTATCATTTGTTGTCAATATGATTGTCATATGTGTATTCTTAATATGCAACAGAGATTTCTACACCGGTTGTGCAGTGTAAAAGAAAAGTGAATAAATTGATAAAGTGTTAAGTGTGGATGAACCGTATAGGTGGGAGTGCACTGTGCTTTCAAAACAAACATACCAGGCGACTGGCCCAACACCACTAGAACTACCGATCTATGGCCAGAAAGTTAATATCTAAAACTTAAGTGAGAATAACGAAAGCAAGATGTTTCGAACGGACAAATCGAATAAATTCGACTTAGGAGAATTCAAGAGAAAACTGAAACGCCTTGCGGATGGTAGTTTTTTGTCTTATAGACGAATCTTTCTGCTCTTATTAGGAATATGTATCTTTTTTTATATTTTGCCACCCGTGTTTCGATATTTGTTTATGAGTACGCCGGAAGTAAAAGGTAAAGTGCCTTATATTTAATAACCCAAACAATGTATTATAATTTCAATATTTTATACCTTTTAGATCCACACATGCAGTGCATGGACGATCGCTTAACACCATTTTTTCTACAAAACTATGAATTTGATGCCAATATACGTCACGTGCCACCGCATCCAGAAGAACGTAATTTCATACCGTATATAGGTAATGGTTACATTGGTTTGGAAATTGCACATGACGCTTCTTTGAATATAAAATCTGGTCGTTCCATGCAGCTGCCGATGCAATTTCATCCAGTTGTATCGGTAGCACAACGAAACGAAGCCGGACGAGAAGCAACGGTAGTTGAATATATGTCCGGTACAGTGCATAGGTAAGTATGTCATTGAAATTGCTATGCAGTTAAAACAATAAAATAAAATTGTATAATCTTCACATCAAATGTGTGCAGGTTTCAATGTTTTTCCAACTATTTTGTCGCCTATACTTATTATGCTCACCGTACACATCCGAGTGTTTTAATGCAAGAAATTAAAATCACCAACACACGAAATACCATAGAGGAAGTGGAGCTGATTTTCCCACGTATTTATTTTCAATCACCAACTTCGCACGTTATTAAATTGGGGTTCGTATAAAAATTATGCAAAAATATATGTAATATGTACCTATGTATATGCAACTATTTTTTATTTGCAATCAATGTAGTAAAAATTAGTTAAAACTTGCTAAAATCAATTTTACGAAGCCAGCGTAAAATCCACTAACACTTTTCTGTATGGTATTTCTTAAAACTGTCATGAATTTATTGTTATATTTTTTCTGTCAGTTCAACAACGCAATCCTCTGTACTTAAAGAATTCGAAGTGAGTACTGGTACGATTGTAGTAAATCCAGACGACCCCACTAATGTGATTGTAGTAAGCGTAGTCAAACCACAAATCAATCGAATTATACAATTGAAAAAGCGTGGCGCTATCAACATAGTATTTCCAATTGCAGTGCATTATTCACAACCGATTAAGCGTGACAAGTTGACGGAGACAATACAAGATATAGAAAATAAAGCTATACAAGCTATGACAAAAGTTATGCAAAAATTGCAAAACAAATCGGAACAACTGCCAAATCCACATACATTCCATCAAGAACATATTAATGTATGGTCAGATTTGTGGGCTACTGGCTTCAGTATAAGTACATCTAAAGCGGAGGGCAGTTTGAATGGCGATCGCATCAACGCTTCCATGTATGCAGTTCTCTCGCAAACGCGCAGTTACGAATATGAAGAATTCGTTTCTTTAAAGTCGCCTAGCAAACAAGAAATAGCGAAGGCGCTGACCTACGCTGAAGGTTGTTATGACTCATATTACACATTACAGGCAGAGAATCTCTGGTTGAACGCTGACACATTAGAAAAACTGAATAATTTGGTGTCATCATGGATGGTCACTTTGGAAAAGCAGGTAACACTCTGCATAATATCTCTGTAAAGGCATTTCAACATAATAATTGTATTATTTAGGGCTGTCACAACCTAATACGTGCCGGCGCTTCAGGTGTTATACAAGCTATGGTGCTCAGCTTTGGCAGTTTTCGTTTCAGCAATCAACATTTAGAGTGTAACATGCATCCTAAGTATCTACATCGTGACTTTCATTTTCGACGCTTAAATTACGGCAATAAGACACATGTCAATATCACAATCACCGTTACTGAAGATAATAAGGCGGTAATTAATGTGGCGCTAGATCGTTCCGATCGCAGTTATTATGCCTGTGATGGCGGTTGCCTGGATGAACCAGTATTACTCACGTGAGTTAATAATTATGTAGACTTATTGCTGCCTGAGGTCCTATGTACCATCTAGGCGCCATGTGAATATATATATAAGAATTAATGCCTAAATATATATATATATTGCTGGAGATAAGTAAAATATTACTTATTATTTATGCTCTTTTAGGCAAAGCCGTCGCCAGTTCCCAGTGAAATTAACCAAACCAGTGACCGCGATTCTTTATATTACTGAAGATAAGCAACATATGGAAGAGCTACATAAGGCTATACATGTTAAAGAAGTAGTTGAAGGTATATTTTCAAATTTGGTGCTTCTCAAAATTTGTTTTAATTTTCAATTTTTCAACTACAGCGCCGGCGCACGAGCAGCACTTGATCGCATTACATAGGCATGGTCATCAGTTAGGCGGTTTACCTACACTCTTTTGGGTATCGGTTTGTGCAATAATTATAGTATTTCATGCGTTCCTATGTAAATTAATTATTAAAGAGTATTGCGAACCTTCGGAAAAGCTGCGATATCGTTACAATAAACCATGACCATAAATATTGTGTGTAATTATATGTATTTGTATTTACATTTCTAGTTAGAAATATTATTTTTTGAGCCTATAATGATAGCTAGTTCAATAACTTAACTCCATAAAATGCGTGTGTGTATATTTCATACTTTTTATGTATGTTTATAATGTTGTCATACTAATCAATACTAATATGCAATTAAACTTCGAACCATAACGTTTAATTATTATTTTATTTTATTTTATTTTTTTAATTTATGCGAGATCGTGCTACTTATATATTATTATATGTTAATTTTAATGAAGATAATATGTTAATATAAATATATATATATATATATATACATATATAAATGTAAACAATTGCAATTTGTTTTTAGTTTTTTATTAGAATATAACCTATGCATATGTGTATGTAAAATATTGTAATAAATTTACGAGAGCGTGTTATATTCCGAATTAAGTTAATATTGTAACGGTTAAACAAAACAGCTACTATACAACAGCTCTAATAGTCGTCGAACCAAACGACCCGTAATTACTATATCCGAGTTAGTGTTTTTGAACTCAATTTGGCAATGCTTTTTGAATATATTACAGATCATTTGGGTATATTAGCTGATTTTACATTAATCCTTAGCAATCAAATGAAAGCAATGAAAATGCTATTTGGTTACGGCATAAATAGATTCGGCGACATAAGCGACATTCTTCGTTGTTAGACCGACTACCGCAATACGTCCATCCTTTGTCAAGTAAATACTGTATTCCTTAATAAGACGTGCCACTTGCTCCGGCTTGAGACCAGTATAGCAGAACATGCCGATTTGATTGGTGATATGCTCCCAGGAGTGCTTAGAACCGAGTGAAATTAATTTCTCCTTCAATGCCTTACGCATACTTATGGTACGATTAGCCATTGTCTTCAAATCATCCAACCATATACAGTAAAGTTCATCATCCTTGAAAATCTCCATTGCAATGCGCGCACCATGTACTGGTGGATTCGAATACATGGGTCGTATAATGGTTTTCAAATTGGATGTCACACGTTCGGCCTCATCTTTGGAACTGCAAACTAATGTAAATGTACCGACGCGTTCACCATAAAGACCCATATTTTTGGCATAACTTTGTGCTAAACAAAATGTATGTCCTTCGGCGCTGAAAATGCGTACAGCTGCCGCATCATTATCAATATCACCGCTGGCAAAACCGAGATATGCCATATCGAAGAAAGGATATAAATTACGTGATTTCATTATTTGTGATATTTCGCACCATTGCTTCGCATTTGGATCCACACCGGTGGGATTGTGCGCACACGCATGTAAAAGCACAATCGACTTTTCAGGTATTTTCTAAAGTTTATACAAGTTGAAACAGGCATATATTTCATAATAAAAAAAAAATATTTTCGCTCCTAAAAGTCACTTACACATAACGACTCAAGTAGCGCCTGCTCATTCAGCGCACGCGTATTTGGATCATAGTAGCTATAGTTGGCTACCTTCAGGCCGGAATGCATGAAAATTGGACGATGATTCGGCCATGTGGGCGTGGGCAAATATACTACGCGTTCACCCTTCCAAAAGAGACCCAAAAATGCGGCACCTATACGTAAGGCGCCGGTGCCACTTAAACTCTACACATGCGTAACAATGTTGATTCATATATAATATGCATGTTATATAATTGATATCAAATATAGTCATTAGATACCTGCACTGTTGCATTGCAATTATTTTTCAGTATTTCCGAATCTTCGCCCAGCGCCAGCGCTATTGATTTATTATAAAAATCCGCCAAACCGGAAATAGGTGCATATTCCTTATTCATATTTTTGGCTATTACGCGTTTTTGTGCCTTTGTAAAATGTGATGTTTTTGTTTTTTTTGTGGTATAAAAAGCAAATATTATAAGCAACACACCTCTTTAACACTGGGCAACACCCATGGTTTGCTGTTGTCGTCACGATATGCACCTACGCCTAAATTAACTTTTTTGGGGTTTTTATCCTTTAAAAATGCCTCCGTGATGCCGAGTATTGCGTCGGGTGGTGCCATCTTCACATCTGCGAACCATGATCTATGGAATGTAGTTTTAGTTTTTTTTTTCAGTTACTTTAACAAAATGCTTGTGGAGGAGTACATACTTGTAACGTGTGAAATACAGTGATGGAGCAGCTTCAGCTTTAATGGGTACACGCTTTGTTAGTTGTAACATATTTTAGAAAATTTCTGTATATTGTAAATTAGGATTTTAATTTTTTTCTTTATGTCAACACCAAATTCGTAAAACAAAGTTGTAGTTTCACATTTTTTCTTTATTTGTATTGTAATGGTTAATTTTCAATTTTTCGTAAATAAAACGTTATTTGAGCTCGTCATTACAGTTCTATTAGTTATTTTAGCACAACAGCGGAACTTATATAAGTATAGTATATATTATATAAGTATAAGGGTGCAGTTTTAAAAATTCGTGCTCGTGTGCATCACAGAAACCTGTTATTCCCGACCGTTGGGTACACAGTAAACGAGACTGACACGAATTTTTATTCGATCATGAACTGTCGGCTCGGTAGCATTCCTCAAAATTATTAAAGTAATATTTTCGGCATCTACAACAACAACAGCAGCCTTTATGCCGTTATGACAGTTGATATTATTACAACAACAATAATCATATAGCATTAAGTTAAAAAATAAGATTATATATACATACATATACTATATTTTCAATAGTTTATTAATTCGTGATTTACAGTTTTATTTTAAATGCTTTCATTTATACGATTACATTATATTTTTATTTTGAGCGTTATACTCGCGTAGGTACTCAATGTACATGTTACATGTTTCATTTTATTTTTCTAAGCTTAAAGACTTGGACATTTATTATTTATTAAAATTCTACTATACACCCACGCCTGCATATACATAACCTATACAGATATGTGTGTTCGATTTAAACGGCAACCTGGGCGCATTGCTTTGCTGTGCATTAAAATTCATCAAATTTCTATTAAATATTGGCTGTTTTGCTTTTACTTGGTAACTTCGTGCATGGCGTGCGCCAAATAATCAACATTCTTGCTAGTCACACCAGCCATCGAAATGCGACCATCTTTGGTCAGATAAATGCTAAACTCCTTCGACAAACGCTCGACATTTGCGGCGGTCATGCCCGAAAAGCAGAACATACCAATTTGATTGGTGATGTGATCCCAGGAGCGTGTTGAGCCCAACTTCACGAGATTGCCCTTCAATTGTGCGCGAATATTAATAATACGATCGGCCATTGTTTTCACATCCTTCAACCAAATGGCTCTTAATTCTTGATCATTCAGAATTTCGGCAGCAAGACGTGCACCATTGATTGGTGGATTCGAGTAGAGAGCACGAATGAGTATCTTAATTTGTGATGTGACACGATCAGCCTCTTCTTTGCTGGCAGTGATGACGGAGTACGCACCGGCACGTTCGCCATACAAACCCATATTCTTGGCGAAACTCTGCGCCAGGCAGTACAAGTGTCCGTCCTTCTCGAAAATGCGCACAGCTTGTGCATCACGATCGACATCACCGGAGGCGAAACCCTGGTAGGCCATATCGAAGAAGGGGAACAAGTTCTTCTTCTTTATCAGTTGAGAGAGCTCCTTCCATTGCTCCAGCGAGAGATCGACACCGGTGGGATTGTGCGCACAGGCGTGCAACAAAACTATGGATTTTTCTGGAATTTTCTGCAAACAAATAAGTTAATATTAAAAATTTAAAAAAAAATTCTATACTTTTATAAAATTAATAGTTATACAACAACAAACTTTATACTCACGCTAATATCTTCGAAAACACCTTGCACATCCAAGCCGCAAGTTTTGGGATCATAATAACGGTATTTCTTAATCGGAAGTCCGGAGTGTTCGAAAATTGGTACGTGATTGCCCCAAGTGGGTGTTGGCACATACACCTCACGATTGCCCTGCCAGAATTTGCTGAGGAAAGCGGCACCAATACGTAAGGCACCTGTGCCACTGATGGACTGCAAAATAAACCGACTCGTCAATATAAGAACACTAAAAAATAACTATTGTTGATTTACTCACCTGTGTTGTGGCATTGTGTTTCTCTTTCAAGCGTTCCGAATCCTTGCCAAGCGCCAGTTCGATAGCTTTGTTGTAGAAATCTGGTATACCGATGATGGTTGCATATTCCTTGTCCAATTTCTTGGAGACAATGCGTTCCTCAGCCTTAAATTTTAATTGGCACATTTACATAGAAATTGATACAGTTATTTTAATTTAAAAAAACAAAATCGAGTAAACTCACCGTGCGCACACTTGGCAACACCCATGGTTTACCGTTATCATCGCGATAAGCACCAACACCCAAATTGATTTTTTTTGGATTCGTGTCACGTTTGAAAGCTTCGGTTACACCCAAAATAGCATCAGGGGGACCCATTTGCACGCCAGCAAACCATGATCTAAAAAAGAAAAAATAAAGATTTAAGTAAAAAAATAAAACTATTATATTAAACATGATAGGTTTTCCTACTGGCTTTCTTGTTATTATTATAATTTAATTATTTGTAAATACTTTGTAAAAAATATTGCATTCATGTGTATGTACGTATATAAAATTGCGTCACTTCACGGCCCATTGCTGCTGGTGTCAACAAATATTTGTTAGAAAACAAATTATACACAATACTATTGAAGAGCATTTATAATTTTATATACATACTAACATAAGTACTTGTATACAAATTTACAAATATAATAAATAAAAATATTGTTAAAATTAAATTACAGATGTTTCAGTATCAATTTTTAATTTCTTTCACCAGGAAGCTGCCTATTGACGTAAATCATTTCGCTTTTATGTATAGAGATAAGTCGAATATATTTATTCATTAATTTCATATGCTTTATTAGGGTGCCCGTTATTTACCAAGTTGATTTTTTTTTGCAAACGCCACGGAAGTTTCAATTTTTACGCTAATTAACTGAGCGTTCATACAAGTGAATTATAAATTCTGTGTTGCTCATACGACATGGTGTACTGTATAGAGTACATTTGATGAACTGTACTTTTAAACATCAGAATGAATGTTTCTATGGCAAAAACCAATCAGACTTTTTTGTTGAACGCTAAATTTTGCATAAAAAATTCAACTTGGGAAATAACGGACACCCTAATATATATACATATTTTCATCTATGCTACTGTTTACATTAAAGAATAGTTATGCATGTTTTAAAGCTTTCTGAATCATATCGATAACAATTAGAATAGACACATATGCACAAATAAATACAATACATACATATATATATTTCTATAAAAATTAAATTACGTGAAAATGCTAATTGTTTACTGTCATGGTCATAAATTTCGTTATCACATCCCGTGAGCTGGACTAATGACGTTGACAAATACATATAATATGTACTCGCAGCTGTTTAAAAATAGATATAACAAACAAAAAGAAAAAAATTTGGGCATACACGTACAAGTGTATATGTATGTGCATGCATACATACATATGTACAAGTGAATATTGAAAATGAAAAGTATTCATGAAATGATTATATTTTTTGCACTAACTTTAAAAATAAAGACATATTTGTCATGTTGAGACCATTTATTTTCTCTCAATACGTCAATTCAGTGGATATAGCTTTTTTTCATACAGACATATGTACATACAACAGATAATTTTGCAAAAGAATTCTTAAAGATATATTTGCAAGAAATTTGTTACGAAAGCTGGCCGCTCTGGGAGAGGTTAGTGTTGGTTTAACAAATAATCAGCAAGTGGAAGTGTGATAATGTTATCTATTGCATCAAATCATTATTTAATTATAAAAATATCTTGAATCGTTTGATATGTATAAAACTAATTTGTTATTATTTTATCATACTTTGTAATACGCCGGCTTTTTCATATATATATAGTGGCAGACTTGAATTACTTTCTCAAGTGGTTTATATTATGGTACCTGATAGAAATACTCGTATAAGATCATAATCATGTACTTTAAAGATAACGTATCCGACTTATTGAATTGTTTTATCCCCCCGGGTCTTATACATATATGCATATTATCTGCAGCAATTTTTTTATTATGTAATAATATTAATAAGTAACGTGACTCGTATAATATACGTAACTAAGAGCTCTTCTAAATTAATTTAGTATAGTATGTACATACTTGTATGTATCTAAATATGTTTAAATTTTCATATGTGCATAAATATGCAAAGGGAAGTAGTTTCTACTTTTTTACCCTTTTGTGCTGGCGCATATGAAATAAAGTGTGTACAAATATGCATACATATTTACATATGTATATTGATAGGCACATTTGTATGTACATACATATAATCAAGTACTTTCATACTGATTTATTACCTAATAAAACTATGTCAAGCAGTTTAGTAAAAATAGCTAACCAATTAACTATTCAAAGTAATTTATGTATGTATTGTACTTATAAATACATAAATTAATTTAACATCTGCAAACCATATACATATACTTATAGATATAAGAACAAATACATATCTAAAAATTAACTTGTTAGATTAGCAGAGAGCTGCGCCCAGTAGACAATACAAAATAAAATGTGATCAATTTAGTAATAAAATTATAATATTTAGAAAGATAATAACTATCGTTAAAACAACAAATAAAATAGCTTTCAATATAGATATAATTTGATATAATTAAGAAATTACAACAATTCTACCTAGCGTACGTGATTTCGCTACACTACAGTGCACATATGTATGTATGTACATATTTACATATACACGTGTATGCGCGAATGCGCGAAAATAGGGAAGTAAATATACTGCATGATTGAATGACCTTGTGTAATGACATCTACTAGAGCTTAAGCTAAGCAGTTAGCACCGGTTGCATGAAAATCTTCGATGTTTATTTATTAATATCTAATTTATGCTTAAAACAAAAATGTTATAAATATATTTTACATACGTTTGTCCACACCTGTATACATAAGTGCCATTTTTTATATATGTGTAAATATTTATAATATTGTACATGTTCTAATTAAATTGACGCTTCGATTGCTTACTGTGTGCGTGCGGTATTGACATTTAATGCTGCTCCAATAGCGCGGTTTGCCGATAAAAGAGTTTTTCCGCTAATATTTGCCATTTCTACACTTTAAATTACGTATAATGATAAAAGCTTTCTTTAAATGCTGAAATTGTTAACCTGCCACCCACAAAACAATAGTACTCAACCAGCCAAAATTCAATACTGCAAAATTTCCCAAATCGGCAAACGTATCATAACCGCCACATTAGCTAGCCCCACTTCATCTTCGGCAATCAGCTGAAACACTTCGTGGGGGATAATGGGTTGCCACTCTACAATTATCAATGAATCTATTTCTATCACAAATGGCAGATCGCTAAAGTTTTACATAAATTATGATTAAACTTCAAACTTTCCTATTATACCAAAAGCCTCCAAGCAAGTCGTGGGCCAGAAACACCAATAGAACACTGCAATAATTCTGCATGGAAACGGATACATACACACGTTATAACTGATTGACTCTACGAGTGAGAAAGGGATGAACGTTAACACGTACACAAGAGTTTCGGTTAGTTATATGAACTCGATCTTGAGAAACTCAATATATAATAGTTATATGAACTCGATCTTGAGAAACTCATAGAAACTTTAACATAAACCTTGGGTAGCGCTCTCTGCAAATAAACGTGTGATTTAACCGATAGTTGGCTGGCAGTGGCATTATTTAAATCCTAAAGACGGATATACAAGTTAATGTAAAGATGGCAGAGGAACTAGGAAATTTTATATTCACAATTATATTAGGCAGATTTCATTCATAACCAACAAGTTTTTAATGTGGAATCAACGCTGTGAATCACAAAAACAGCTGATTTAGATTGTTTACCAAGGTTAACATTTTAGTAAAACAGTACACAAAAGTGAAGAAAGTTAAAGTTAATATAAATTTTAATTATATACATATATTGTTCATTTTGTTTTTGGTTGCACCAATTTAAATAAAAGAAGATTTTGCAAACAAGTACTCATTTCCGGTAGTAAAGAAAAAACTCGACGTAATGGGCGGCGGAGATTTGGTACTATAATTAAATTATTTATTCGTAATGTAATACTATTAATTATATACACTTATGGTAATTTTAGAATTTGAAGAAGTCTTGGCATCCGCATACAATGAAAAACCAAGAAAAGGTGTGGAAAGCGGAGCAAGCCAAATCAGAGGAAGATAAAAAGCTCAAAGATCTACGAAGGGAGATAGATGAAGAAAAAACACGAGAGGAGCTTAAACAGATAGGTCGCAATTCTGGTATACTGCCACAGGAGGATAAAAAATTAGAATGGATGTACAAAAGTAAATTGGCCAAAAGTTTACCGTAACACCTAAATCATACAACATAATTTTTTTATTTACAGGTAGTAATGAGCTTATAAATCGTGAAGAATATCTACTTGGAAGGAATATTGACAAATCATTTGAGATGTTGCAAGCTGAGGAACAACGAAAAGATCAAAATATGGTCGGTGTAAAACAATCTATAAATCATGTGGAACACGAATGCATACCATTTTCCATACGGTCTTACCGCAATATAGAGTCCACAGAACAAGTCGATTTGCAGCGTAAAGTCATGGAGGATCCTTTAATGTTAATTAAACAACGGGAAATGGAATCAAGAAAAAAACTTCTGGAGAATCCGGTAAAATTAAAGGAACTTCACCGCATTCTCAAAACTGATGAATTACTGAAAAAGTCTAAAAAAGTAAAAAAATCTAAGAAGTCTAAAAAATCCAAGAAAAAGCATAAAAAACGTTCTAAATCATCCAGCGATGACAGCTCTTCCGATTCGAAATCAGGCAGTGATACCGCAAAGGATCTAGATGAGGAATTAGCTAAGAGATATAAAAAGCTAAATAAAGAGGAAGATTTTTCTGGTTTAAATTTGTCAAAATTATTGGACGCTAAATTCGAAACTATTACAAAAGAATTGGATAAAGCTGCCAGAAGTAAGCGCAAAAACGATCACCGATATCGCTCAATTAGCAGTGACAGTGTTCATGACAACAGGAGGAGAAGTCGTTCCAGGGAACGTGAAAGAAGAGTAGAGAAAAATTCGTATGAGAGTAAAGGAAGGCAAAAAACAGTTAGAAGCCCTCGTCATAGATCACCCAATAGCTATCAAAAGAGACAAAGTTCGATTATACGATCACCCGACGAACCTCGTAAACGACAATACTCCACCTCTCCTTCTATTGAAAGGGATGTTAGAAATATTTCCAATTCAAAAAAGTCACGTTCAAGTCGTTCATTAAGTAAAGATCGTAAGAAGATAAATGATTATCGATCGAGAAAACTAGAACCACAGTCGAGACGGCAAGATTATAAGGAGTATGAAATACAACAAAAATACAAATCTCGTTCCAAGTCACCTAAACTTGGTAAAAGTCGACGTCGTTCTGAAACTAGATCTTCAATACGCTTAAGTAGAAGGGAACATTCAAGATCTTTACGCAGAAGATCACGTTCCCCACGCAGAAATTCACGTTCTCCACGTAGAAGTTCCCGCTCTCCAGGTAGAAGTTCACGCTCTCAGCGTAGAAGTTCACGTTCTCCACGTAAAAATTCACCTTCGCGGAGAAGTTCACGTTCCCCAGATCGAAGTTCACGCTCTCCACGTCGGCGAGAGAGATTAAATGATCGTAATGAAAATAAATGGGGCCATGGGCGATTTAATGAAAGTAAAGTGATAGCATCACAGAAAAAATTAAGCAATGAGGAAAAGGAAGCACGTCTTCGGGAAATGATGGAAAACGCTAGTTGGAGGGAGGAGGATCGGGTGAAATCAGTGCAAAAGTATCGCGAAGACAATGCCCGTGAAGAGGAACATTATAAAAATCAGCATTTCGACAAGGAATTCATAAATAAGGAAGTAAAGAAAGCGATTGCTACACAGTCCTCAATTGGGTCTAGAATTCGTTCAAACTTGAATAATATTCAACGCACATCCGCCGCTATGAATTCAAATTTTACGAAAAAATAATTCAAATATTTTCCTAGTTTTAAGTAAATTCCGTTTTTGTAACTAATAAATACATGTATTTAACGTTTTTAAATTATCAGCTATTTTTATTCAACATCTAAACGGATTAAGATTTAATATGTTCAACAAATGAATGTGTTCCTTGTTGTAAGAGCAGTTTTTAACGATATTTATAATATTTTCCATTTGCTCAGCATAGGATGTAGTTTCGTAATATAAATTTGTCTCTTGTGCTTTTTGCCAATGTTGGAATTAGATATTTTAAGCATTGCTCAAAGCAGCTACACCCGGCAGTGTCTTGCCCTCAAGCAACTCCAGAGAGGCACCACCTCCGGTTGAAACATGTGATACCTTCGATTCGGTACCCCATTTGGCGCAACAAGAAGCTGTATCACCACCTCCAATAATGGAAACAGTGCCACCTTCGGTAGCTGAAACTACCGCATCCATAACAGCCTTTGTGCCGTTGGCAAAATTTGCAAATTCAAACACACCTGGTGGACTGAGATAATATACATTTAAATAAAATCCATATAATAATATAACCTGCATATTTACCCATTCCAAACGATGATTTTTGCGCGGCATACGGGTTCTTTGAATAATTCTCTGGATTTTGGACCGATATCCAAACCCATGTAACCATCAGGAATACCTTCCTCCACAGTTGCCTCACAAGTTTTAGCATCTTCAGCAAATTTATCAGCGCAAATAAAATCGACCGGCAAATGTAATTGCACGTTGTTTTTCTTTGCCTTTGCAACCAAATCATTGACGATTTTTGCACCTTCTTCGTCAAAAAGTGATGCACCAATCTTCATATTATTGATGACTTTCAAGAAAGTGAAAGCCATTCCACCACCAATTACCATCTCATGTACTTTATCCAGCAAATTTGAAATCAACTGAATCTTGTCCGCAACTTTAGCGCCACCCAAAATGGCCAAGAATGGACGAGGTGGATTATCCAGAGCCTGAGCAAAGTATTTCAATTCTTTGTTCAACAAAAGACCAGCGGCACGCTTTTCGAAACCTTCGCCAAGCATTGAGCTATGGGCGCGATGTGCTGTACCAAATGCGTCGTTTACATAAACATCACCAAGTTTGGCCAAACTCTGTCGGAATTCTTTCACTTTGGCTGGATCTGCCTTTACTTTTGCTCCACTAGCATCAAGACCTTTTCCCTCCTCTTCAACGTAAAATCTCAAATTCTCCAACAAAATAATAGAACCAGCCGCTGGATCTTTACATGCATTTTCTACTTCGGGCCCAACGCAATCAGGTAAAAATTTCACATCTTTGCCAAGAAGTTTTTTCAGTTCATCAGCCACTGGAGCAAGGGTATACTTTTGATTTTTTTGTCCATCAGGTCGACCTAAATGCGACATGAGCACCTGTAAATAAGTAAATTGTTATGTGTACCTATACCTCTAAAAAGATAGTAAGCCGACATGCTGAAAATTTACTTACGACTGATTTCGCTTTGGAGTCCAATGCAAATTTAACACTATCCAAAGCGGCAACAATACGTTGATTACTTGTAATTTTGCCATCTTTGATAGGAACATTGAAGTCCACTCTTAAAAAAAATTTATGCAATATCGTTCAAATTGTTGTTACAGAAACCAATTACCTCATCAACACTCGTTTGCCATTTAAATCCAAACTTTCAATGCTCAATTTGTTGAAAGCCATTTTACCGCCTTTACTCTTTTCTTTTTTATTACAAGAAGATAGACTTTTCTGAATAGTATTTCCGAAATAAGATTGGAGTTCAAAAGTTTTCCGTACGCACAAAACGTTCCTTCTGCTTATCGGTATGGTCAAACTTTTTAGTAGCCAATTCAATGTCATTGCAAGGGCAGACCGACAATCGAAGCAGAGTTGTTATACATGCGAAATTAGTAAAAAAATCAATGAAAGCTTCGAATTTTCAAATTTTTAGTGCAAATTTTATTAATGTATTTTAACGTTTGATATATAAATGAAAGCCTATTTGTCATACAAGTTAAAGTATAGAAATTGTGTTACTTTTTACATCATTATCTCATTTGATGGGGTAAATTCAAATCACAAGATCTGTGTATAGAAAATAAAGGATACTAAAAAAAAAGTTGTATTTCAATATGGAAGGGTTTTAATAAAATAATTAAGCGCTTATTACACGATACGTTATAATTTGAATTTCGAGTTAAATACCGTAAAATTAGTATAACTCACGGTGTATTTCTTATTGCGAATAGTTTTTGGATTTAAAGTGTTTGTAGGTTACAATTGAAATGTCAACAACTTCAAAAGTTGTTTTGACGTCTGTGGAAATTTTCATCAACCTTTCGTATATGAAGAAATAAATATTTAGCGAAAAAATTCTTTCTGTGGAAAAAGTATAAAAAAGTGTAAAAATTGAATAATAGTGCAATATAAAAGTCAATGTATTAATTAGTGATATTAACTGTATTGATGGAATAGCGTTCAGGCGCTCAATACCCATGTGAAATGGCGTTGAATATTTTGAGTACCAGCAACTTAATTTATGTGTAATTAGTATTCATATTTACACAAAATGTTAAATCTAAGAATAGCAACATTCTTACGATTACGCACATTAACATGTTTAGCATTTTTGCTTTGTGTTTGCACAAATCAACGTTTGGAAACACGGGCTGATCGCATCACATTATTACCTACAGTCCAGCATTTACAACATCATGCTCCATGTGATCGTAGTCGTAAGGTGTTCACTGAACCGTATGGAGAAATAAGTGACGGTCCTGCTGGGTTTAACTATACGCAGGATTCGCATTGCGAATGGTTGATAAAGGCACGCAATGATAGCCAATTTATAACACTCACTTTCCATAGCATGGGCACCGAGTGCTCGTATGATTACATTTATGTGTATGATGGAGACTCGTTTAATTCCACATTGCTGGGAAGCTTTAGTGGTCGTACCCAACCGCAGCGATTGGTTGCGAGAAGTGGAAGTGTAAGAATTTTGAAAATTTCGAAAATTTCATTCATCTTTTTCACATAATTGAATATGCTTTTTTGTCAATATATGCAGATGCTTATACTTATGTACAGTGACACGAATTATGTGCTCGATGGTTTTCGGGCTTCATATTACATATCAAATTGCTTGAATAATTGCCATAATCATGGAAAATGTGTTGGGCACCAATGCGTCTGCCATGGAGAATGGGTCCTGCCTGATTGTGAGAATGAGGCATGTCCAAATAAGTGCGGTGAGTCGCAAGGGCGTGGTAAATGCGTCAAAGGTATTTGCCATTGTGAAAAGGTATGTAAAATTTTAAATCAGTTATAAATTTACAGGTTTGAATAGCTAATTTGTTTTGTATACTCTTGTGTCTAATATACTTGTTTATTCTTAATGCAGGGCTTCAGCGGGCGCTTATGTGATTTATATATAAATCCGCAAGGCGGAAACTGGCGTTGGCTGGCCACCGACGCAGAGGGTATGACACCACGTGCAGCTCATACTGCCGTTTATCTCGAAGAACATGATGCTCTTTATGTTTTCGGCGGTTATGACTTAAATAATGTTATCAATTCATTGCAAGTAAGTTAATTTTTTTTTCTTTTTTAATCAAGCTATACAAATTGTATTTTTTACAGATTTATCGCTTTAGCAGCAGTCAATGGGTAGATGAGTGGGGGCTTTTGTTACAAGATCACAATTATTCACAAAAAATAAATGCTACTTTATTGAAGGCAGTTTTGCAACATAAAAGTGAAGACGAAGCAAAACTTTGGGGATTGCGTAGTGATGTATCATTCTTCCGAAATATTTTATATACGCTAGCCGAGTCTAATTTACATCAAAGGCGAACGCGCTCTTCACAGCTGATTGCAGATGTTAATGCCAATATCACAAACGAACAAATACCCGAGTATTTTGAAGACATTTTAGAAGAAGTTACGGATAATAAACCGGAGGGTCGATACGGGCATGCTGCAGATCGTGTGCCTGGTAAATAAAAATATAATTAATTATAGAGTAATGAAGTTTGCAATTTATTACATGTTACAACTAGGTGGTTTCGTAATATTTGGCGGCAAAAATGCAAACGGTAGTTTCTTCAACGATTTGTGGTTTTATAACAGCACAGAAAGTGGCGGCAAGTGGAAGCAATGGGCACGAAATTCAAAGCTGAAGCCACCAAAAGTTGCGCGCCATACAATAACATTAGCTGGCGAATACCTGTATTTATTTGGTGGTAGTCTCGAAACGGGCGAATTTTCATCGAGGTGAGTAGAAACATAAAAATTTTTGCAAAGTTTTGAAAAAAAGGCATATAAATACTTTGGTTTCAGAATATATCGTTTACGTTTGCCTATTTATATCAAAAACAAATTTTTTGAACACCCAGTTGATGATGATGAATCAACGAGTTCGGCCTATGAAAACGATGATGGTATATTCCATATTGCCGATGAGGATGACGATGGGCAATGGGAGTCTGTACATCCGCGCGGTGGTAAATCTTTAGATGTGCGCCTAGCTGCGCACAGCACCGTCTACTATAGTGCAACAAATTCCTTAATTGTTTTTGGTGGCATTATGTCAAGTTTGGCGCGTTTCTCCAAGCTTTCAGATCGAATTTTCGCATTCCAATTAGATAAATTGCATTGGACAGAAATACTATATCCACGCACTGCCTTACGTGACACAAACATTCCGCACGAACGCGCCTTTCATTCCGCCACGATCTCCGGCAATTATATGATCGTCTTCGGTGGCTACACACATCGTCACAATAAGGACGAAATCTGCTATGACAATCAAATGTATTGGTACCATCTCAGCTGTCATATATGGATCAATCAAGTCGTATCGGCAGACGAAAGTCTGTATCCGAAAAAGCAAGGTGTATTTGCACATGCCGCCGCACTGAGACGCAACAATACATTATTGATTGTCGGAGGTTATCATGGCAATGTAAATGCCGATCTCTTTGCCTACGAACTGCCACAAGTGTTACGTTTACAAAATCATGGCTACAATCCAGAGATGTCATGTCGTTTGCATACTTCACACACAGCTTGCCTATCGAATCCCGAATGTGGTTGGTGTTCGGCTGACAGTAGTTGTTATGGGCGCACCATTGGCGCCAATTGTACCACGAATTTGCAGACTACACGTTGTCCCGGCATATGTCCATCGCTTGGCGATTGCCATTCTTGTTTGGTGCATGGCACTCAATGGCACACCGACACCGATCATTACTTCTCTGTCGCCAGCAAGTTGGGACTTAATGAGTGTACTTGGTGTGTTCAAAATGCGAAATGTCATCATCGTGATGATAATTACGGCATTTGCGGTGAAGATACACCATCGCGCAGTCCCGGTTGGTGGGGCGAAAAGGGCACCGAAATACGACAACCCTCACAATGCACCAGCAATGATAAGCGGCCTGGTCTTACATATATTAAGTACCATCATCCGGTCAATTTGACAATGCCCGACTTTGTAGCTATCGTAAATGCGACAATGGTGGACTTTGGCTCGCCGCCGCCTGCTACGCAGTATGAACAGAAGTTGGAAGGCGAAATGTTGGCGCGTTTAGTAGGCTTCGTGCGTCCGCAAAAAACTTGGGAGGAACCATCCGAGATACAGGTTACCTTAATGATAACTATTTATTTGTTTATTTTTTTTTAAGTATTGTTTTTTTTTGTGCTTTTAGGTCTGTACCAGTTATTCCTCAGCATTTCTGCGCGCAGGTTTGGGCAAAAGCTTAGACTCACTTAAGGAATTGACTAATCGTTCTACAAATCAATCATACTGCGGTCCCGTTGAGATACCCAGCACCGACCAACCGTTTCTGATCGATTTTCAAGCACGACGTCGTGTCGGTCTCTCCACTTTGCATAACTCCTATCAAAAAACGAAAATGGAATTGTATCATATATACCATGGCAATCTGAATGCCTTCACCTTTGAGTACCTTGAACCCTACTACTCCGGCAATTGCACGCAATACGTCAATTGTCTGCATTGCCTAACCGATTCGGCATGTGGTTGGTGCGGTCTGACTGCAAAATGTGTCGAAAAAACTGTAAACGAGACTGAGACTTGCACACTAGCCGATAGCTCAGCGCTTGCCGGCAATGAGGGCTACTGGGAATATCTCATCACACAACCGAGCCAGTGCGCCAACTGCTCCAACTATGTTTCCTGCAATGAATGCGTGACGTCTGGTCTGTGCGAATGGTGGACGGAGGAGGCGCGCTGTGCACGTTTCGGCAAATCCGAACATGGTGTGCGCAATACTTCGATGTGTCCCATACCCTGCCGTTTGCGCACTTCATGTGATCAATGTTTAAACGAACGCGGCCGTTGCGTGTGGTGCGAAGCAACATCGCAGTGTTTCAGTTTTGCCGTTTACACCAGTGAATATCAATTCGGCATGTGTCGTGAGTGGTTGGATCAAATTGTTGCGAACGAAACACAGCGCATTGCCGATTACACGCCGACCGGTCATGATGCTACTACAACTACACTACAACAACAACCGACACTACCTCAGAAACTACCAGCTACACAGTGTAAATCCTGCACTTTATATACAAATTGCACTTCATGTCTGCGCACGCTCAGCTGTGGCTGGTGCTTTGACCGCGACAATCCCATCGAAGGTGTGTGCATGCAAGGCGACTTTAGTCGACCGTTTGGTAATTGTTCGTTAGCTTTGAATAGTCCCACACAGCATGATGCCGAATGGGCGTATGCGCAGTGTCCGGACGTCGATGAGTGTGGACTGGGTCTGCATGATTGCCACAAGGAAGCCAAATGCACGAATACGCATGGCTCGTATAATTGCCATTGTCGGCGCGGTTACGTTGGCGATGGACGGCTGTCATGCGTGCGCACTTGTTACGAGAATTGCGTGCACGGTTATTGCTCGGGTTCATCCGATTATGTGTGCAAATGCGAACTGGGTTGGACTGGCTCAGACTGTTCGATAAATTGCGGCTGCAACAATCATTCGACGTGTGTGGAACGTGTGGGCAAGTGTGATCAGTGCCA